TTGTTTCGGTCTCTGCAAAACTCTGTTGATGGTAAAAAAAATTGGCTGACCAAAGCGTTGCTACAAATCACTTGGCCAAGTTTTTTGACAGGAAACCACAGAAGTTCTGCAATGATGGAATTATGAAGCTACCCGAAAAATGGCCAAAGTCATAGATAATAATGTTCAATATGTAGTTGATTAAAATTGATTTTCAATAAAGAAAATTTATGTTCAAAAATGTACCAAAAAAGCAGGGAGACTTTTTATATGACCCAATATATATAACATTAAAGAATGTAAGGCCAAATTCACCGTGTTTTGATTTTGTATTTAAATTTACTTCTACTTAAAAATTTATATTATGAGGACATATATTCAAGCTAAAAATTCTTTAAATGGTGATTTTTTTAAAATTTGAAACTGATAATTCTATAACTTGAAATGTATGGCAAAGGTTTTTAAAATTCTCATATTTAAAGACCTATATGAAAGTTTGAAGCCATTTTTTGTTTGCTCAGAATTGTGGTATATTTTAAAGTGCCTCAGTCTGTGTGTATTGTTTTTTGACCTGAAGGTAAAAGAAATCTCTAATTATGAGATTTATGCAGTGTCATAAGCTTTACAGTTTACATTATGTATTCATGTTAAGATTTTATGTAGATCACTCACTATGTGTTTAATACAGTTATGCCTCTGTATCCATAGTATTAGTTATATGTGGTTTATAGTGAGGAAGGAAAATCATTGCTGAAGTATTGAAAGTGTATTCTGTGTGAGAGTAACCACAGCATAGTGAAATATATCTATTCAGGCCTGCTCAGCAATTGCAACCATAAGCTCTTGTGTGCATGTTTTGGATAAGTGTTATTAAATAAGGGGATGAAAATGGTTTGTCTAGAACCTTAAATTTGCAGATCAGTTATCAAATATGTAGTCTTTATCTTGCACTTCTGCTGGATAGTTATGTAGTTGGCAGTGGAGGTTACAACTCTTGTTTGTCACACAATATTTCATTCATATTGTTTTCTGTACCAAACTGTGTAGTAATTTACTTGTATTCTGCATCTAACACTCTCTGTGTTCTCAGTACCACATTATCTTATTACTGCTTTCATGTGCAGAAATATTATTTATCATGATGTTACCTCTTATGACTAGTGTCTGTGCTTCCAAACTTTGGAGAAACAGTAAACTTGGCTCTGTTTATCTATGTTATAAAAATATCGCATTGTATATTGTGTTCATCATTTTCTGTGATCTGTGTGAAGATTTACAGTATATTCCTTGCATATATCGAACTAATACTACAGCTGTATGCAAAATACAAAAAGATATTTATCAGTTGTCTTCGGTTCAATTTTTTTTAAGCCTTTTGATGACAGTTTGGTAATCCTATTTCTCATCTCTATCCCCCCCCCACAAGCCCAAAAAGGATGTTAGTCCCAAATGGGATATTAGTCTCAAAATGGTATTTTGTGTTGAATCACAATGAACAGCATATCACTTTTAAAATTGCTGTACCAAATATTATTGCTATATGTTATATTTAAAGAAATTAAATAATGAAGAATCTGCATGAATGTGTGTATGTTGCTTGCATTGTGAAAAACAACTGTACCTAGAGCCATCAAATTTTGAATAATGTAGTCTTCCACCTGAGCATCAACGCTTGGAAGCCTGAATTTTGAATTAGTTTTATTACCTATTTCATCATTTGGAAAACTTTAACGAATTTTCGATTAACAAACTCAATGATTTAAAAACAAACAGTGGCAATACTGTATGGAATAAAACATTTTTTATTGCTGGCACACAAAACTGTCAATAAAAAATTCTATAGATATGCTGTTTCTAAATAATGATTTTGCTGTTGAATTGAGTTTTAGGTGGCATGAGTCCAAGAATGTGATATTTAATAGAAGAAGTAAATGCACAACACATTAATAATAAAAAGACAAAAAAGTTTTGTAAAGCCATCTTAGTAAGAAAACTTAACATTGATATGATTAACCGAGAAAAGACTTTAAAAAAATAAATGCAGAAAAATGTATGCCAACACTTAACACTGTGTTGGGAATTCTAAATGTATGCTGCTTTTAAAAACTTTGTAATTTTGATGTTGAATTGTATGCGGCATAAGTGCAAAGAAAATGATGCTTAATAACAAAGCTAAAAAGACAAAAAAGGGGTTAACACGAGTGTGTGTAACAGCAAACTCATAGACTGCAAGCTCAACGAGACTGTAAAAAATCTTAACAAACACTTTTGGGCGACCATTAAAACTTGAAAAACCTTTCAGATTATTATTTTTTTTTATGAAAGGTTCTTTCCTAGGGGCAATCAGTTGCACATTTTCTTCTGCTCTTACAGTACATTAATTGCACTTGCTATATTTTCTTCATTTTAGCAAGTAAACCCTTGGGTATGGATTTATTTGAGAAAATATTTGCATGTGGAACGGATATAATTTTTGGTTGCGATTCATCAATAGCTACTTCACTATCAGCAGTATAAAGGTAACAAAATTTATTATTTAGGTAATCCACTATATTTCTAATCTTTCTTATTCTGTCATCTTTATTTTCCTTTTCATTATCCGTAAAATGTAGAAATTTTGAAATATCAAAAAACGTATCGCGTGGCATAGTACTGGCAAAAATTGGAGTACTTATTGCATATCTTTTTGACCAATACATATACATTTTTGGCTTCTTCATTTGCGACATCAAGATACATAATGCAATATGTTTCATTTCATCAGAACTTACAGGAAACCACCTTTTTTTTTTGTTTGTTTGTTACACAACCTTCTTTTTCTATCACTTGTCTGGCATATCTATTCGTCTCTTCTACTATAGTGTCCCAAAAATCTTCATTCAAGACTTCTTTCAAAACATCTAATATCACTGTTCGATAAACGTCTTGTGCATCTTCGAAACCTTGATATTACATTACAATTGTCATCATTTTCTAGTTCAATATCATCTTCATCGCCTTCGCTTTGTATTTCATTGTAATTGTCAATTTCAGGATCACTAAACCATTCTTCTTTAGATTTCTCAAAGTCACTTTCGCTATCACTATCGTAAAATATATTCCTTGTTTTTGACATAATGGGGCAGTGTATCGTAAATAATGTTCACTGAAATACTGTAATTGCCTCTTCTAAAATGACTGATACAAGCTACAATGAAATGAACAGAATTGTGCCTAACCTTAAATAACGTCTTAGACACGTCATCCGCTCCTAGGGGGGGGGAAAGTGAATGATTTGTCTGAAACGTCAAATGTACCCAAGGGGTTAAGTATTTAATTAGTGTAGACAAAGAAGTGTAACATACAGGGGTTGGACAAAAATATGGAAACCCCTTTAAAAAAAAACATGTTCCTTTGCTTAATATGGTGTAGGAAACCCGTTGGCATCCAAAACAGCTTGCAGTCTTCTCGGAATGGATAAATACAGTTCCTGTATGTTTGCCAAGGGAATATTATACCATTCTTCCTGCAAAAAACGGTGGCAAGTTCAGATAACGTTGGCGGTGGATAACGAGAACGCACTTTCTGTTCCAATGTAGACCACAAAGGTTCGATAATATTCAGGTCTGGTGACTGTGGTGGCCAGGGGAGATGGGACAACTCATCCTCGTGCTCAGAAAACCAGTCCTGGACAATGTGTGAACAGGGGCTTTGTCGTCTTGGAAGACACTATCACCATCGGTGAACAAAGTTTGTACCATGGGATGAACTTGATCGGCCAAAATGTTCACATAAGTCTTGGCAGTCATGTGCCCTGACACAGTTATCATGGGGCTAGCAGAGAACCACGATATGGCTGCCCAAACCATAACAGAACCCCCGCCATGTTTCACTCTTGGCAACAAGCAGTCTGTATTATAGGCTTGCGATGGCGTTCTCCAGACGTAAACTCGGCCAGAAGTGGGAAACAATGTGAAAGAAGACTCGTCAGACCATATTACTCGCTTCCACTGCTCTATAGTCCAGGCTTTATGACTTAAACACCACCTTTTCCTGTTACGGCATTAGCATCACTGATGAGTGGCTTCTCAATTGCAGCACGGCCATCATTTCCCTTTTTATGAAGCTCCCTTCTAATTGTTTTGGTACTCACAGGGTTCGGTAACACAACATTCATTTCAGCAGAAACTTTTGCAGCTGTGGTCTTCTTATTTTTCGTCGCAATTGCCCTTAATGATCGTCTGTCACGATCACTCATGACACACTTTCGTTCATGCTGTGATTTATCAGATGATGTTTTTCCGCTTTTCAAATATGCGGAATAAATCTTCGATACAGTACCTCTTGAAACACTAAACATCTTGGATACCTTGCTTACGGAAGCACCTACCATACGTGCTCCAACAGTTTGCCCACGTTCGAAGTCTGTTAACTGTGACATAATGCAATGACAACCTCATATAACAGTACTCCGACAACAACTGAACTGTTTAGCACATTTACAAAGTTGTATAGGTGGCGTCAGTAGTTGAAAACGCCAGCGCCACCTACATATTTCATTAAAATCAATCTTTCTTTTCAAACATGCATTTCACAAGGTGTTTCCATATTTTTGTCCATCCACTGTACAAAATTAGCCTTGAATGGACCCAATAACTATAACTGTCTTTCAAGGTTTGGTAGGATTAACCAAATGTCATTAAAGAGGTTTTTATCCTCAAAAAGATTTTTGGAGGCAGAAAATTATCATGTAAATGTGATCCAGAATAACTGCCTTTAAAAGCTGAATCAGAAAATTATTGTAACTTTTTTCCTTTAAATTGTTTAATAATAAGTTGAGAAAGATTTAATTTAAGGTTATTTCAAAATTAGCTGAAATTAAGTTTGCCAATTTTTCAGTCTGTATGTATTGTTTGTTTGCATGCAGAAATTAAATTTTTATTAATAAACTTAAGTTTAAATAAAAAATTCTCAGAGTAATGTTTCATAATGAAAATTGTAGTATGATGTTAGATTCTGCAATCTTATATTATTTTTTTCAGAATGCTGTGTCAATGTATTGCCGTTTGGGATTTGCACGCAAAAAAGGGCAGGAAGACCTTACCAATTTGCATCCTTCTTGGCAAAAGCAGAGTTCCTCAAAAAATTCAAAGTAAAACTTTAATATTCTAATATATAAATCTTTTAATTGTAGTTCAAACTTACATTTTGTATTGAATAATGCTCCATTGGCTTCTAAAATTGCTGTACCATAAAAAGACAAGTAAGAGAATTAGATTTACTATATTATAAATACATTACAGTAAAAAAATTTGAGAATTTTGAGCTAAGAACATGCAGAATTGAGCACCGTGAGCATCTCCTTCTGGCAACAAAAGCTGCTGTTATACATCTGGGCATAGTGTTGAACAAACTTTGGATGGCAGTTAAAGGTATTGCAGTCCACTTCTTTGTCAGAGTTCATTCGTTTTAGTGGCTGGGGAATGTTGTCATGGCAGTCTCTTTGCAATCATTGACCTAGCATTTTTCATTGATGAAAGATGAGAACACTCTGACCAAGGCAAGAGTTAAATGTCCCGTGTATTAAGGAAACATAGAACAGCATGGAAAAAAGTGATCTTGCATTATCATGTTGAAAGATTAGGTGACAGAGAACTTGAAGATATGAAGAATATTGGCATTAAATCCTCAGTAATGTGGATGATGAAAGTATCAAATTTGTTGATTAGAAGTGAATGGGATGTGACACCCCACATCAGTCCTGGTTTCTTGGCTGGTATGACCACAGAGAATACAAGCTTCCAATGCTCATTATCTTTGGTGCCTTCACAAGTGCATACATAGCCTGTTTATGCCTCCACATGTGCACATATGACCATCATGATGTTGTATGCAAAAGTAGGATTTGTCAGAAGAGACAGTGTTAGAGGATTGAAATATCTGTGTACTAGTGAATATAGCATTGTAATTGCTGTCTTCTTACAGGACATCTATGGCATTATGTATTGTTGCAGCATACTTGGTGGTATGCAGCACATCCCAAATCCTGACACCCCATTCCTTCATGTATGTGCTTTGGCTGACAATTATTAATAATGATGCTTGGCACAGCTGTTGTGTCAAGCATTGGTAAATGGAGCCATTAAGATATGGTATGTTTCTGTGTTTCTGGCACCTATGGACCCATGGACTAAAATTCTTCTTGTAGTCATTTAATCTTTTCTTCAGTGATGAATTCTGTATTGCACATTATGTGCACCCATTATAGCTGGAAAATCAGATTTTGCTGAGCACTGTATGGTTTTATGTATAATTAATCAGTTATTTTGCTTGTACTGTGACTGTTACTTTTATCTGCTCCTACCAGGATGCAAATTAATTGATGTATTTAATTTTAAAGCTCCTGAGTTCAAACAAGACCTTGTGGTAGCTATTACTGACCATCTTGCTACTGTTTCTTCCAGTATGTGATTTACTTGAAACGGTGTTAGTCATAATTGCTTTCGTAGGTTGAGGGTCCAAGCAAAAGCTTGCAGTTGTATTGTCTTGTCAATTTCATATTTTAATACTTTAAATTTTACCTTAAGCTTTGTTTATCGTTTCCACAATCTGCAGAGTTTGATTTCTGGTATCACATATTATATAACTGTTAGGCTGTTCTTTACCCATGCTGTTCTCCAACAGAGAAGGTTTATGTTTGAGTTACTTTACTGAAAGATTAAGGTGAGGGTATTAAGTTGCCTGGCTGTCTTCATGGATCCACTGATTCTAGTTAAGATCCATGCAACTATAGTAATTTAACCCTTGTCCCTGGGGGGGGCATATATGTCCCATGTATGCATGCTATTAAATGAGGCTCAAAGAAATTTAGTCTATTATAGAGATTAAAATTTAACTACTTCCTGCAGAATATGGAATGGCAAACTCTGTCAGATTATTCTTGTGTCCCTTGCTGGCTCAATAGTCGACTAAATGAATGCAAGACATAACAATTTATTCTCTATAGACCATGGGAAAAGTTTGAGCTATCAGTTAAAATATTTTATATTAAAACAGTGAAAATTTTCAGTGCATAATTGTCTTTAATATCATATATTATGTTTGGAATTTATGTTATTTTTTAAAATGGATACAGATGTTCAGAATGTATATTTACAAGACTTATGTTATATCTTCTGTGCCAGACTTGCGTATGCAGAATGGAATCCAGATATTGTTAATTGTATTTTTTTGTTTGTTGTTGTTCATAAAAATGTAGATTTTTTTTAATATATATAACTGTTTTTGTATGGCTTTTGTGTAATTCTAGGTCTGATACCAGTGAGCAAAATGAAAACCTCATAAAATTATTAGAATCTGATCTTGATAACTGGGCTCCATCATGTGAAACTGATACACATGATCAAGGTTAGTTGGTTTCCATTATTTCTCATAATTTAGCTTTATTTATGAGAACAGCCCAACTGTTTTTGCTGAAAAATAATTATCTTTGTAAGTATATGAAGTCAGTAATATACAAAAGTTGTAAATCCCTGTAAAGGTCTGATGATGCAGTAGCTAGCATGTTGCTCAGCAACACCACAGGTCTGGGATTCGATCCTTGGGCTGGGCAGGATCGACTCAGCCTTTCATCCCTGCAGTGAATCTATAAAGTGAGTACCAAGTTCACTTGGGGACTTCAGTTGTGGTTGTCCAGGCCGAGATGCTCAAGCACCCTGTAGGGTGACTGTCTAGAAAGCAGATATTAGGGCACTGGCCGGCCATGGCTCTCTAAGGGCTGTTTGTGCCGCTGGGTTTAGTTTTTTAGAGTTAGTTTTTAGTAAATGCCTTTTGTGGGTGCTTAAAATTATGTTTAGAATATTTTTGCAACCTGAAAGTTGGGTATCTTTGATTAATGTTCCATTATATAACATAATTTGCATTAAGTTTTTTATTTTTTTTTATTTATTTATTTTTTTAATGTTAAAATATTTTAACATGTAAATATTAATGGTGTAAAACTGTGGTCTACAATTTTTTAATTTAAACAGGATTTGAAGGACTAGATATGATGCAGTTACATATCGTTAACATATTTCCTGTTTATATGGCAAATATATATGAAATTGGCATTAAATATATTACTTTTGAAATAAGCATATTGCTAAGATATTTCATGTTAAGTTATGAGAAAAATTATAAGCTTATTTTGAAATTAAAGTAGAGTTGTGCAATGCGGTGATAAGAAATTTGAAAAAGAAACACCTGAATCCTCTCCCGACCCAAACAGTTGTTTTCCATTTTATTAATACAGTCAAAAGTCGTTAATTCGGACACCCATAATCCGGACCTCAAAGCTAAAACTTTCTGCGCACGCGCCACGTTGGCACATGCGCACAGGCGTTTTACGCGTGCGCATAAGACCTTGACTACTGCGCATATGCGTGTGCGCAAGTGCAGAATACGTTTTCGCCTGCGCGTTTAATGTACACTCATGTCCAAAATTATCTTTACATACCCAAAAATGATGATATTCAATGAAATATCGAAGCAATGTGATCCGTATTTGCACAGAATGTGTGAAAACCAAGCCTAATTAGCATTATCCAATCAAAAGTAATCAAACGGTTTGTGATATGCAAATCTAGGCGTTACATCATCCAAGGGTGAATCAAGCGCTTTGCGCAAACTGAATATTTGAGTGAATTTCTGCAACATAGCGTTTGATTTCAGTGTGTAGGGACTCAAAAAGCGGTTTGTTATGGCTTCAAAGTATCATTTGGAAGAATCTGTAAAGTGGCGAATTATCGGCCGTTTAGAAGCAGAGCAGTCAATCATGGAAACAGCCACATGTCTGAATATTTCCAGACAGACAGTCTCTAAGCTATGGAAACAGTTTCAAAATGATGGTAGTGTTGTAAGGAGGCCTGGACAAGGTCGGAAACGAATGACAACTGCTTCTGAAGATCGGTATCTGGCATTAACTGCCCGTCGTAACAAAAAGGCTACTACTCGCCAGTTACGTTCAGAGCTTGCAGCCGCCACTGGAACTGTTGCATCACGGCAAACAATATACAGAAGGCTTAATGAAAAAGGCCTCTATGCCAGAAAGCCAAGGGTATGTGTTTTACTGTCTTCACAGAAAAAGAGAGATCGCTTTAACTGGTGTAAAGAACATCAAAACTGGACTGAACATCAATGGTCTCATGTTCTCTTTACTGATGAGTCGCGGTTTAGTTTAACTGGTGATTCTAAACATGTTTACATCTGGAGGGAGTCAGGAACATGAAATGATACCTCGAACATTGTGGAACGTGACCGTTTCGGTAGTGGAGGTGTGATGGTATGGGGTGGAATAATGATCGATGGACGTACGCCCCTACACGTGTTCAGCAGCGGATCTGTGACAGGCCAGATATATCGCGATGAGGTCTTAGATCCTTATGTAAGACTTTTCAGGAATGCATATGGAGCTGACTTTTTATTTATGGATGATAATGCCCCGTCCACATCGAGCAACCTCGTTGATGAATTCCTTGAAAGTGAAGACATTAAGCGAATACCTTGGCCACCAAACTCTCTCCTGACCTTAACCCCGATAGAGAACTTATGGGTCTACCTTGGAAGAGCAATTGCACGTATACATCCTCCTCCTAGAGATGTAAATGCTCTGAAGACGGCAATTGCTGGAAGAGTGGAGATTAATTCCCCAAACTGTGGTTAACAACGTTATTTCCAGCCTTAAAACACGTTGTGATATGTGTGTACAAGTCAGGGGAGATCATATTCCATATTAAATTCATAAGACTTAATTCTTTTTCTGAATCATTCCTTTTTTTTCTTAACTCTCTTTGTCACACTTTATTACCATTTTTATTGTTTCATGCTACAATTTTATATCATATGAGGTGATCTTCAATGTTTTCTTTTGCATTTATGTGTCATCATGTTATGTATGATTCCACCAAAATTCATTAAATTATAAGTCATAGTCTCTGAGAAATCCGTGAATTTATGCATGTAAACATAATTTTGGACATGAGTGTATAACGGAGAGTGTAAGCTAAAATTATCTAATTATCTATTTCAGTTAATGTTAATGATTGCATTGTTAATTAATCTTCGAATTGGATCCCGCTTATTATTTTTTGCAGACTGTAAGAGCAATTTTATAAAAGTAAACTTGAAATTTCGATTATGTCAAATAGAATTTCCGATGCTGGAACTTGCAAAGGATCTACAAAACGAAAGTATGTTTCGATGTCCAACAAATAAAAAGTGGAATTGCTGCAAAAAAATGGATAAAGACATGAAGAATGTGACAGAGAGGTTAGTGAAAAGAAAAAATTTCGATTGACAAGTTAGTCGGTATTCTCGCACAGCAATTAAACGGGACTTGAACAGCGGAACTTTGTAACTGAACAAGAAATTATGTCTGTTTATAGAATTAAGAGAAAGTATTATCACATAAAATGAAGCAACTTAAACAACTTTACATTGAAAGAAATGTTTAATAAAGTAAACAAATAAATATTAAGCTTTTTTTTTTTTTTTTTTTTTTTTGTAAATTTTGATATCATATAATTGTTCTTTATTTCATAAATTATGGTTTCATATTTTTAATTTTAGAATTTCTGCATGCCATCTTACGAGATTTAAACTGATAATCTATAATCCGGAATCGCCGAAGTCCCAACGAGTCCGGATTAACGACTTTTGACTGTAGTTATATAGTATCCATTTTATTAGTATTTATACATTTTTCACTGTACAAGCAAGGTAGAAAGCCTTTGGATAATTCCATAATTGCCAGCCACAAGTACGATATTGATGGATATGTGAGCAAAACAGACTTAACTGTAGTAAAAACTTTTAGAAAATGCAAGCATCTCCAAAATATAAGTTATGTTACTACAGATCAAGAGTTATTAAGTTAATTGTATTCTGTTATGAAGAGGGGGGTGGTGAATTAATGCTTTAAAAGATAAATTCAAAGAAAATCCCTAGTTAAACTTTAGGTAAACATCACTGGATAATATGAGAAGCTTTCTAACAAGATGCTAACATTTCTGTTGGCATTTGCAGGACATGTAATTAATAAAGAAATCTCTCTTCTTAAACTTTAAAAAAATAAATAACCATAATGAGATGAATGCATCTGTAAATTTAAGGCTGCATCTCATGTCGGCCAAACCTGATTTTAGTAAGTTGCTTGTCTCTCAAAAAGCATTTAATACTTGTGCTAAACACATGCAAAATATTTTTGTGTAATTTATAAATATTGTTTCAAAGCATATTAAAAATTTTCAGCAGTAAATGTAATGTGATGTGTGTACTTAAATTCCTTATTATCTTGGAAATGCATTTGCTTTGTCTGTTCTTTAGTATCCCATTACTTTAGTATCCCAATCTTGTCAGTAGGTTATTTTATGTGCAACTGGATCTGCATTAAGAGCAATTATATCAGTTAAAAGAAAATTTTGCTGATATGAAGTGTAGCTAATTTTTAAAAAGTTATCAATAAGAGTTGTAATGTATGCAAAATCTTGCAAAATTATCTGAAGAAATGTAGATAATTTGGTGGGAAGCAATTAACAATGAGAATTGGTGAAATATATGCAAAAATCATCTTGCAAGTCTCAGTAGCTGATTTTTTGGATAGTCGTCATAATTCCTGTTTTCCCATGCCTTTAATTTACTCCATTTAGCATTTTTTAAGAATGGGTGAGAATAGATTGCCAATGAAACATTAGTGGCAGAAAAATAAAAAAAACTGTGCTATTGCAGAAGAGTATTAATAGTGATGTAAATTCCACATGAGCACTTGTTAAATCAAAAATTATCAGAAATGTTTTCAGTTGTTGATATGTTAATCAATGATGCCTCAGCAAAGTAATTTATATAATTCCACTGTCTGGAGAGCTATTGCTTGATTGGAAACTAGGCAGAATTATGATGACAAAATCTGTGTAGTTTTCCTATCATAGCTTTGTCATCTAATAAATAATTACATCCAAACTGGAGAATTGTTTTAGCATCAAGGATAAAGTCATCATCTTTTCACAAATAAGAAGTTCAGCCATAAATAATGCCTGCAAGGATGACTAGGTCATTTCAGTAACAGTCAGTGTAACATAACAGAAGCTTTTCTTGGTAAAGCAGTATATATGATATACAATATGAAGTTACATAAAGTGACTGTGCTACCATTGTTTTATTTAAGTACAATACAAAAAACAGCTGGTTTAGAGGGAATCTATATTCAGTGAACAATGGTAAATTAAATGATTTCAAGATAGCAAAAGTGTAAAAATAATTTTGAGGCGACATTTGCCAGCAAAATTGTATTATAAAGCCATAGGCAGATTAGAAGGAAGTTAAAAGGATGCTGCAAGATAGCTTAATGTTGACTGTACCATAGTAAGCCAGTTATGGAACCCTTTTCTAACTGCTCCTTCAGCCTGTGCAAGACCTACTGAAGATTGGCCAAGAAGTACCATTTCTGCAGATGACCAGTATTTGTGACTTAATGCACTTCACAGTATGGACTGAAATTCCATCTCTGCTTAGATTCAGGCTAATTTCTGGAACAGGAAGGACAGCATCAGCCACGACAGTATGCAAAAGGCTACTTGAAAGGTTTGTATGCTAGGTGAATGGCATTTTGCATCCTGCTTACCTCTCCGCACCCGAGGGAGCATTTGACTTGGGCACATAGTCCATGTAAACTGGACAGAAGATCAATGGAGGTCAGTTCTGCTTACTGATGAGTTTCACTTTGCTTTACACAGTGATTCTCGGTATGCTTATATATGGAGAGAAGCAAACACTCGGTGTCTGTGTTTCAAGAGAGCAAATAGTAGAAACTAGTTCTTCTCCTTTCCTTCCTTCCTGCATGGTATTTCTGGTTTTCAATACTACTGAATTTTTGTGTAAAAATTCTTTCACCTTAATGTTATTAACAAAATTATAAATTAAAATACATTATACACTACTAAATCACACAAAAAAAAAGAAAAAAAATCACTGACTACCATTTAAAGAAAAAATATCATCCTCAAATTATTGTAATTTATTTATTAACCGACCTTTCAATGCAAGTTGTAATAATGTCAGAAATTACAATTTTGGGAATTAAATGTGTTATTCCATTTTTGTAGTATGAGAATCAAACTTTTATATATATAAATATATGATATGTATATTATGTATATATAAATATATATACATATGATACATATAAATATATTATATGTATAAAACATTTTCTTATGTATAGTATAGGGACCAAGGGAACTAAACAAAAAGTTGTTTCATATTTTTAATAAAAATTAATTTAAAAATAGGAAAATGGGAATCTTGTGTCATTTTAAACTTTTTTGTAACTGGAAGTATATCTATGATGAATGATGGTAAAAATAAAGGCTGTGTAAGGACTTTTGTTGAAATGCTGCATGTAAATTTCATCAAACATATTTGCAGTGTGATGAACAGACATCCTATACCTCCCATTCATTCGTAAATTGCATGCCAAATTGAGAATAGCTCTTTTATTAGAGAATGGAGAATTTCACAAATTTTACTGCATCCTTGTCATATAAAACATGCTGCATTGTTAAACCTTAAAATAAGTTATACCTTGTTAAAAATAGCCAATCCAATATTATTTCATTGTTTCAGAAACATAGAGCAAATGTATGTTTTCATTTTTTCTTGTATTTTTTTAAATGCAATCATTAAATAGATAAAGCTACTGAACAACACAATACTCATGATAGGTTCGATTCCTGTTGACTGAATGGAGTGGCTGTATATATATATCATGGTTTTTGTCTATACATAACTTGAATACAAACAGCTCTGCATAGAAAATCTATGAAGAGCTTTGTATTCCTTTTATTTGTCCCATCTGAGGCTAATATTATTCAATTGATTTGCTGCAATAAAGAACCTAATCTTTTATGTTTGATTAAAATTTAATATAGTTATTTTTCCATTTGCACACTTTTACTTCATATTGGTATTTTATTCTACAAACTTTGTGTCATAGAATAATTGTAAAAATTCATTATCTCAGAATTGTTTTAAGCAGTATGTATAAATAATTTGTAGCATTAAACATGCTTAATCACTCATGTATCAGTGTAATTAATTACAGTGCCAACAATTCTATCCAGTGTCCCTTTGAAGCGAATAGGATTTCTCTTTGACTCAACTTTGACTGCATTTCTAATGATGGGAAATTTATCTCCGGTAAGTGATGTTATTTTAAGTTTATTATACGAATTCCAAGTAAATTTGAATCCACCATTCCTTTTTTCTAACTCCTTTGTAAAATTCTCAATTCACATATATAAAAATAGCAAGGCCTTTATAAAAATCATGAGGCTAGTAGGAAGAAAGCCCCCTGTTAGCCTTACTTTAACATTTTGTGTGTTACATGCTTGGTATCAGAATAAGTTCAATCCTAGTCTGTTATTTAATATTTAATTATTGTAACAAAATAAAGACCTTTATATCTTGCCATCATTTTATTGCTCATATCATTTGTCTTGAGCACACTTGTAGAGACATTAGGTATTTTGGAAACAGGAAAGATGAAAAATATGCAATGCCTTTGCCGAGAATTGAACCGCGGACATTTCAATTATGCATTGAGCGTGCAGACCACTACACCATGAAGGCTCGCTAAGAAGACAGGAGAAATACCTTATACACTGATGTTGAATAAGTATATTTTAGCGATTTTTGAAAGTTAGTAAGCTGTTTGTCTAAAAGTTGACTACATAGGTACGAGGGCTATCCAGAAAGTAGATTACGTTTTGGAATAAAAAAATAAACAAAGTATAGGAAACAAATTTTATTATATACAGATGAAAGCCACACTCAAATACTACTTTTCTACATAGTCACCATACAAATTAAGGCATTTATCGTAGCGATGTACGAGCTTGGAAATTCCTTCGTCGAAAAATTCGGCCGCCTGCGCCTTCAACCACTTCGTTACCTCTTCTTGCAGCTGTGCGTCGTCATCAAAACGCTGCATAGCCAGCCACTTCTTCATTGCTGGGAATAGGTGGAAGTCGCTCGGTGCCAGGTCGGGACTGTACGGCGGATGAGGAAACAACTCCCACTTAAAAGATTCAAGAACTTTACGAGTGACATTTGCCGTGTGGGGCCGGGCGTTGTCGTGAATCAACAAGATCTTAGAGCTCAACATTCCTCTGCGCTTGTTTTGAATTGCTCTTCTGAGTTTTTGGAGAGTTTGGCAATACCTTTGAGAGTTTATTGTAGTGCCTCTTTCCAGGAAGTCCACCAAAATTACACCTTTTCTGTCCCAAAAAACAGTCGCCATCATCTTCCTTGCCGACATTGTTTGCATGCATTTCTTGGGTTTTTGGGGAGAACTTGTGTGCCCCCACTGCATTGATTGCAATTTCGTTTCACAGTTCACATGTTTCACCCATGTTTCGTCACCAGTAACGATGCGATCGAGTAAAGAGTCACCATCCTTATGGTAAGCGTCCAAAAAGTTCAACGCTGCAGCCATTCGCTGATTTTTGTGGTCCTCTGTCAAGATTTTTGGAATCCATCTTGCACAAAACTTGTGGTAACCAAGCTTTTCGCTGATGATTTCGTGCAACAAACTTCGCGAAATTTGTGGAAAACTCAAAGAAAGTTCCGTTATTGTGAAATTTCGATTTTCACGGACTTTAGCATCGACTTTTTCGAGAAGTTCGGCGGTCACTATGCTGGGTCTCCCACTTCGATCTTCGTCGTGAACATTGGTTCGGCCATTTTGAAATCTTATGACCCACTGACGCACTCCACCTTCAGTGATAATGTTGTCCCCATACACTTCACGAAGCTGCCGATAGATTTCTATCGGTTTACAGTTTTTTGCAGTCAGAAACCTTATTACTGAGCGCACCTCGCAGCTCGCGGGATTTTCAATTAACGCAGACATTTCAAACCGTCACAGTATCTGAACGGAGCACAGCACGAACCTCTCACTAGCACGGCTAGATGCAGACTGAGCTGCGCAACGCTCTGACCCCAAGATGGCCGCGCTAGCCCCGCCCATAGCGGACACAGACGGAAACGTAATCTACTTCCTGGATGGCCCTCGTACTTTACCTACTGGTAAATGACATTAGTAATCATTTTTGTGCTGACAGAGAACATGGTTTTCATAATTACAGAGCATGTGGTGTGGCCTTAAGAATACTAATGTTGTTTTCAGTATCATAGAGTGTGTTTATTGTTGAAGTGTTTTGTGTTAAGTTCCCCGCTACACCTGTGCAAGTAGCTGAAATGTGAGTCATCAGTCACTTTCAAGACACTGAAACTGTTGCTGAAAAGAAGCAAAACAAGCATTCTTCAACATTGAGTGAAGGGAATATGAGAAGTACTTGCATTACTTGAACAGTCTTTAAGGCAAGCCTGCATAAATTATTATTGCAGACAGGAATGTGTTGTGGGAGTGCACAAAAGGCCAAAGAATTAAAGTCTACGTGTATATTGAATACATTGCATACAGGAACTGAAAACATCAGGTAATCTTAAAAGAATAAGTTACTGTCAGTAGTTTATCAACCAGATGGAAAGTAATAAGATGAGCATACTGGATAATGTGCTTTTAGTGATGAGATAAATTTTCATGTTAGGGGTTACACCAGTAGTCCAAATAACAGCTGTTGGTCAACACAAAATCCATACATCTTTCATGTATCATTGCTGCATTCCCAGAAGTTAGGGATTGGTAGGCATTTTCTCAATGCCACATAGTGGGCCCAATTTTTTTTATGAAACCGTTTGCAGTCTGACATACCACAGAATAATTTGGAAGTTGGTAGCTTTTCTCTAGCCTAATGAATGCTTTAGTTATCTGCAACAAGACGATACAACATACCATACATCCAAAAAGACATTTTTGAGGATTGCTTGATTTCAGAAGGTCTGGTTCCCCTCACTTCCCTGATTAAGCATTAAAAATAATTCTGTATTCATGTATTAACACAACCTTGGTAGAAGTCACCAAATTTTCAGAATGTGCCTAACTCTAGCAACCATTTGCATAACTCTTTTTTAGCAACCATGCTCATAACAGTCCTTCAATCAAGAAACGCTGCCATTTTTGAATATGTTCTTTTTGTTGTATTCTAAGTTCCATTGGTGTCTTAAACATAGTTTTAAAATATAAGCTTCTCGAATATCCCAGCAATGGGAAAAACTGCAGTAAAATTTCTTCAGGAATACATAATGTCAGAGCAAATGCCTTTCCTAGATAGCCGCTGTTACCGAGGATTGTACGAAGCCGAATCTACACGATTCTCCGATTTTTTTTTAAAGCTAAAACAGATCACTGTGTACTAAATATAGTACTAAATTAGAATAGCACTAAAAAATTACTAGAAGATTTGAACACGAATGTGTTTTATTTTTTAATGTTTCATCATGTGAGTGTTATTAATTCAAATTTGTATTTTAAATAATTTTTCAAATTTGTATTTTAAATATTTAAAATGTTTTCTTTTAAAATATTAATAATGTTTATAAATTTATGATAAATATTGGTAATTTGGTAATCTTTGTAAAAGAAAAGGCATGAAAACTAGCAGCTTGCACCCTATAAGCAACTTTTACCTTTTTATCTGTAAGAAATAACCAGTTCGCACCAAGGTGGTTGTGTTTAAACGTAAGTACCAAAAATTCTTTGGAGTTTTAAAAAAGGCACTTGTGTCAAGAAAATCTGTGCAAAGTGCTTGGAGCAAGCCATTATATCAGAGGATCAATTTCATTAGCTTTGATGCCCTAAAAAGTTGTTGAAAGTATGGTGTGAATGCTTCAGACCCATCTTCAGAAAAATAGTGGACATTTCCAACACTTGCTGTAAAGACATTTTATCATTTGTGCATAACTACATTTCATGATTAAGACACAATAACATGCCGAATAAATACTAATTCAGAAGTCAAATAACAAAAATCAGCGTTATATTTTCAAAATTTTCACAGGACTAGTTTCGATGGTTTCACCGAACCACCATCCTCAGCTGCAAAACTGCAAAACCTCAGCTGCAGCTGAGGATGGTGGTTCGGTGAAATCTTCGAAACTAGTCCTGTGAAAATTTTGAAAATATAATGCTGATTTTTGTTGTTTGACTTCTGAATTACATTTCATGAATCGAATCAAATGTACCTCTGTATTATAATCCATATTGCAGCTGTAGTATATGGTATATCATGATGTACATCATAAAATGATCACGTTATTTCCTACAATTCCTGAAATCTGATTTGTTTGTTATTCTATAATATATATTAGCATTGCTAATGACATGGGTATACTAACATTGTTATTTTTTTTAAATTATAGGGACTGAAAAGTCATGCTGTTACAATGTTTGAAGTTGGCAAATTGTCAGATGAATCTCTAGATAGTTTTTTAGTTGAGTTACTGAAGGTATTTAGTTGTTCTAATCAAAGAAATTTCATGCATGCAAGTTACGTATTTTATAATCTGAAATCATAAGTTAAAAATTAAAAGGAAAACTTGTTTTGCTTCTCATATTAAATAATGCTTTTCTTTTTCTGTATATTCAATATTTTATGTATGCAAATAGGTTGCTGATGTTGGTGAAGGAGAAGCTAGAAGGTATTTTGATCATGCATTAACTCTTAGAGATACAATTGTGTTTCTTCGGCGCAATCGAGAATTGATGTCAAATTATCTTGAAAATACTGGTACTTCTTCTGGCTTAGGACTTGATTTACTGAGGTGTGAAAGTTTGCAAAACTTAGACCAGGAAACCTGTTCACGTCTGTTGAATAAAAACTACTGGTAGGACATTTCTGATAGAAGTATAACTTTGATTTTTTTTTTTTTTTTTTTTTTTTTTTTTTTGTATGTGTGGCTGTTTATTATTATTTTTTTAAAATTTTTAATATTCATTCATTGCCTTATTTTGGTTTGATTGAAATAATCCTTTTTTATAGCTTCTTTGCTAAATTAAGGAATTGAAAGAATAATACATTTTTATGGTATTCTTTCTAAATTTTATATTTGCTGTTTAAAAATTTTTAATGAAAAGAAATTTAATTCATTTTTGAAAATTTCTGACTAAAAGTAATGAATTCCTTTTATGCATTAGCAATTCAAAACTGGCATTTCCATTGCCATTGCAGCATCATGCTTGTTCAGAAACTCCAATCACTGCAGATTCTCCATAGTTTCTGTAAAAATTCCTTAAAAACTACTACATATGGAAAATGCTGAAAAAACTATGGCTTTTACAGAAAGGGGACAATGGGGAATGGTTTGCAAAGCGTAACTAATTTATTCATCCGATGATTGGCGGTTCATGGATCATGAGTTATGTTAAATTTATGCTATTATTGGTTTTGAAGAGTAACCAGTCATTGACTTGCAAATTCCAACCATCAGTCTTTCCAATCAAGCGCTCTACAGTGAAAGTCTTAACCTTGCAGTTCTTGTTTGCTGAAATTATGATGAGAAAACATGGCATGTGCTTCTTATAAGTTGTCATTAAACTTGAAGTTTTTAAGCTTATAAACATGAAATATGCCGTCTCAGGATAACAGGCTAAAATTATAAAGCCAGAAATTTAAGGATTCCTGTTCTACAGAATTTCAGTGCATTAAGGTGTCTAAAGTTTCTGTAAATCATGCAGTTTGCACTAGCGGCAAAGGCTTTTCAGTCGTGCGTAATGTGAAAGGTGACTGTAAATAGCATTTATTTTCTTAAAGGCATAAAGAAATTAATGCAAGAAAATCAAATTAAATGTAAAATTTCTTCATAAAAGAGAGTGAAAGGATGTTGGAAAAGATAAATGCTATTTTATTCAATTTTTAATTGTCTAATTCAGTCTTTCAGTTTCAGACCATTCGAAGTAGCTTTTGAATGTGATATTTCTGAATTCTGCCTTAAGGAAAAATATCCCATTCAAATTTAACCTGTGGGAAGAAAAAATAAATTCCTATCGTAAAAGATAAATTAAAACAAAATCAAACTGCATTTCGACGAAATTTAGGTATGAAAACTCTTTAGCCATTCTTACTGAAAAGCAAAAATGCAGACAAATGAAGAACTGTTATAAAAAGATGCTCTGATTCATAACGTAAATTTGCAAAGCACATGCTACTTATAAATCTTTTCATTGGTAATTTAAAAATGGATTATAAGTATTTTGTGGATAACTATATGTATATTTCTTAATCGGTATCTGAAATTAATTAATTTTTTTTAAAAATTTCGCTGCAGAAATAAAAATCCAAATAACTCATTAAGATATAATGTTTATAAATTCTAATTTCCTCTATAATTGTTTGTGATTTAAAATATTTGCTTCAATAATATGTTAGCAGATTTAGTGATATTTCTGCTTGAGTAATGAATTAAAAGTTTCTTATTAAAATGCATATAGTTTACCAAAAATATTTTTAATTATTCAGTTTTTATATCTATGGATTTCAAGTTAAATGTAATTAATTACATTTAATGATTAATTAAAAAATATGCCTTGCATGCACATTTTCAAAGATGTAGAAATATCGTTCATGTTTTGACTACTGCCAAGTTTTGTTGTAGGTTGGAGTCTGTGCATGCTGCAATGGTCTGAATACCGATAGAAATAAAGTTACCATTTCTTGAACCAGATAAACTTTATTATGAAAAGCATAATTTTGAAGTTTTTTTCCAATATTTTTAATCAGGTGTTTCAGTCTTCTGCTATGTTTTTTAAATCGGATATGTCATAAAATAGTATTTAACTTTACAGTGTATGAAATTTTTATTTAAGTGACTATAAATGATGTGTATAACATGGGAGAAACAGTGAAAAAGAGTCTTATGCTAGTTTTGTTGAAATAATTCAATAATTTATTTTTCTTAAAAGACTGCATTATAATACGAGGGCCATCCAGGAAGTAGATTACGTTTCCGTCTGTGTCCGCTAGGGGCGGGGCTAGCGCGGCCATCTTGGGGTCAGAGCGTTGCGCAGCTCAGTCTGCATCTAGCTGTGCTAGTGAGAGGTTCGTGCTGTGCTCCGTTCAGATACTGTGACGGTTTGAAATGTCTGCGTTAATTGAAAATCCCGCGAGCTGCGAGGTGCGCTCAGTAATAAGGTTTCTGACTGCAAAAAACTGTAAACCGATAGAAATCTATCGGCAGCTTCGTGAAGTGTATGGGGACAACATTATCACTGAAGGTGGAGTGCGTCAGTGGGTCATAAGATTTCAAAATGGCCGAACCAATGTTCACGACGAAGATCGAAGTGGGAGACCCAGCATAGTGACCGCCGAACTTCTCAAAAAAGTCAATGCTAAAGTGCGTGAAAATCGAAATTTCACAATAACGGAACCTTCTTTGAGTTTTCCACGAATTTCGCGAAGTTTGTTGCACGAAATCATCAGCGAAAAGCTTGGTTACCACAAGTTTTGTGCAAAGATGGATTCCAAAAATCTTGACAGAGGACCACAAAAATCAGCGAATGGCTGCAGCGTTGAACTTTTTGGACGCTTACCATAAGGATGGTGACTCTTTACTCGATCGCATCGTTACTGGTGACGAAACATGGGTGAAACATGTGAACTGTGAAACGAAATTGCAATCAATGCAGTGGGGGCACACAAGTTCTCCCCAAAAAACCCAAGAAATGCATGCAAACAATGTCGGCAAGGAAGATGATGGCGACTGTTTTTTGGGACAGAAAAGGTTTGTAATTTTTGGTGGACTTCCTGGAAAGAGGCACTACAATAAACTCTCAAAGGTATTGCCAAACTCTCCAAAAAACTCAGAAGAGCAATTCAAAACAAGCGCAGAGGAATGTTGAGCTCTAAGATCTTGTTGATTCACGACAACGCCCGGCCCCACACGGCAAATGTCACTCGTAAAGTTCTTGAATCTTTTAAGTGGGAGTTGTTTCCTCATCCGCCGTACAGTCCCGACCTGGCACCGAGCGACTTCCACCTATTCCCAGCAATGAAGAAGTGGCTGGCTATGCAGCGTTTTGATGATGACGCACAGCTGCAAGAAGAGGTAACGAAGTGGTTGAAGGCGCAGGCGGCCGAATTTTTCGACGAAGGAATTTCCAAGCTCGTACATCACTACGATAAATGCCTTAATTTGTATGGTGACTATGTAGAAAAGTAGTATTTGAGTGTGGCTTTCATCTGTATATAATAAAATTTGTTTCCTATACTTTGTTTATTTTTTTATTCCAAAACGTAATCTACTTTCTGGATAGCCCTCGTATTAACATTTACATGTTTCAGACCTGAGATTTGATGTAGAACTTGAATAGAAATTTATCATTATGGTTAATGCAACCTTTAAATACCAAACAACAGTCTTCTTTATAACTGTGCTGTAACTTAAAGTTGATAAAGATTTTACTTGTTCTGGGTTGTTTAGGTCCAGTCATAAATTCTCCTATTATGTGATATTTCTGTGGGTTTTTACAGTATTTTTATGATTTAGATCATATATTTTGACTAAATTTCATCTGTAGGTGCCCAAGTTTATGTTTCTGCACTTAGTTTCAGCTGACTAGCTAAAATAAATTAACTTCAGCTGCTAATAATGGTTATCATTATATACACACTTGAACAGTTAACCGATCATTGAACTGCTTGTCTTTAAAGTTCATTATGTGTGTGCCTGTATTATAATTTCAGTATTACGTTTGTGCCTTTGTAGTAAGCATGTGTAATAGTCATCTAAAGTGATAAAACAATTGAAATATGATCTTGCACTCATTAGTTTTGTCCATGCTCAAATATGAGACTAAAACCAGTGCTTCTGCCAGCAGATCACTCAAAAATAAAAACTGAATTGAAAATTCCAAGTGAAGTAAGTTTATATTGTTTGAATTAGTAACTGCAGCATGTAGGGCCATGCAGCAGGCAAGCAACCTGTAGTAGATAACATAAAACATTTATGTGTGGGAGCTCTATGGTTCTCATCTTGTATAGATTTTTTATTTTCTTTTAATACTACCAACAGATGACTTCTAAAGAGCTCTCTTTTAAAGGACTAATGAAAAAATTACATGGCATAAAATTTTCAACAAGAGAATTTTATATTTTTTTTATTTTGCATGCAAATTTATTTGCAACAGCTCGGTAACACATGGCTGTTTTTAAGAATATCAGTAGAAAAAATTACTTTTAAAGAAACATTGGAAAAAATGACATCTCAAGAAAATTTCAGATGCAACAAATTCTTATTTACTTGTTTATTTTTATTATCATTTGCATATGTGCAGATTTATTTCCTATTATAAAGATGGTATTTACCTTATAAACTTTAAAAAATCTGTGTCTGTAACAAAGAACAAATAACGGGTTGGAGGGAAAGTTCTGTCGTATTTTAAATAGGCAGCAGGTGATTTTTCTTGTAAATAAAAAAAAAACATCTGGCTAGTGAGTCAATCAGAATTTTTTTTTTTTTTTTAGCTGCTGTATAATATAAAAAGGTGCCCTTTTTTACCGTTAATCATTTACTTGTAATATTTTAAAGGGAAAAACATGTCGGTAGAATAAAGTGCATTTACGACACTGCATTTTATATGAATTCCAAAATGGAAGCAACGCATCTGGTTGCATGTAAAAATTTATGTGCGGTATTTGGAAAAGATATTGTAAATGTTCGTACTTGTCAAAGATGGTTTAGCAAATTTCGTTCCGGGGACCTGAGCCTCAAAGAAAGTGTTCGATCTGGACGACCATCCAAGATCGATAATGATGTTTTGCGATCCATGTTGGAAAATAATCCACATTTAACAAGTCGAGAAATTGCAGAAGAGTTTGGCATTCATCATA